TCAAGAGGGGAGATATCGTAGCAGATATTCATTGGTACGTATGACGCGCCAGGACATTCACGTATTAAATCCTTCCGTAATCAACATTGTTGTCAATCACAATTACTTATACGAACGGCAGGACCTAAAAGATGAACATAGGCGCCAATGTTTATCTTTCGACTACCTTAACCTGCCTCCGTACTCTGACCATGAGGCTGTACTGTGCTTGTCTCTCGCTATCCGTCTACCAGATAGCCATATCCACGTCTTCCTATTAACTCCGATCTGTTACTAGGTGGTTGAGACAACAGCATTCAAGCGCCAACGGAGTATTTATTTTCCGTTGCAGCTCCACGGGTCCAGTGCGACTCACTACATACATTGGATACGGGAGATCACCGAATCTCGGACCGGAAGAAAATTACCGTGCTGGATCACAGCTATGTAGAAGTGTCACATTGCAGCAAGAAAAAGATTTATCTAATTATTAAATTACGCTACAGTTCAATATTCACCATTCGTGGTTGCATGCAACAGAGTTCTGAGTTGACCAACTACCAGAGATCTAGTGATAAACCAACCACAGTAAAGTAGCGCCTCAGTCAAACGCGGCAAGATATATCGCGCGTAATTTCATCAAGTACAGACAGTAGACTTCTAACCCGGGACCGTTGGGATATTAGTTGGAACCACTTACCACTCAGCCTCACAGTCACGACGTGGAACACTTAACACGACGGTTAATCGTTACTTGTCATTTCAGGAAACATGTTTTTTGAGGGAACTTCGTGTTATGCCAAACCGAGCACTAGGAGCGTAGGCGTAGCTGACTCTCAGAACAACCTCCTCTTGGTGCCCTCTAAGTAGATCGGGTTTTTCCCGTTCAAGTAAATGGTTCGGCGGCAGTGTTCCATGACGCGGTGCGTTTTCGCCTGGCAAGCGTTCTCAACATAAAAAGCCACATACGTCCGTTTAACAACACTGAGACGTGGCGGATGTGACTCGCAACAAAATAAAGTAATTCCTCCTTGTTCCACTCCGGTGGAGCATTGTATTCCAGCTGCCAACTGCTGTTACCTTGGGGAACAATGTGATCCTATTTGGTATCCTATCAAACGAGAAATTGGTCACCGGCTCCCAATGGGCGCCATTTCCTGAACTCGCCTCGCAGAATTGAGGGTAGGCTATTGTGCCAAAGGCTCGGGATGGTGTCCTCTAAGTCAACACCCTACTTCGGCCTGCGCAACCGCGTAGTATTGCGCTCGCTGCAAAAATCATGGACTACATCGCTGTTTCGCATTCACTCGCTCCTTCCTCCTTCGCTCCTCGAGTTTCATCTCACGCCAATCATACTTCTGTTAATACTCCCTCTTTATCTCGACTTGATTCCGCTACAAATTTCATTAATGCCCGTGATGTCGTGCCTGAGGCTATTCTTCGACGCCGAGCATCGTTCCGGCTGGCAACCCTCAATGTCCGGACGCTTATGCAGATTGGGCTACAGACCGGCCTTGCATGTATTCTGAGTTCCTTCGCCAATGATATCTGCTGCCTTTCCGAAAGACGATTACAGGACAAGAAGTACTGTGCTCAACATAAAATCTCCGGCAAACCAGGAAGCCACATACAACTTAAATTCATCTGGCGACGCAAAAGATGCTTCTGCGGACTTGGCCGGCTTTGAAGTAGCATTAAGCAACAAAGCCGAGGTTGCGTTACTTGGTTGGTTCCCAGTTAAAAACCGACTGTGTGCAGTTTGCCTCCAAGGCTCATGCAGGATTACTAGACATCACGCTGGAAGGCGCAATCTATTTATAGTTTCTGCGAACGCGCCAATCGATTGTAGCTCTGAACTGGACAAGAACATTTTTTATCATCAGCTATTACATGAAACCGCCAAGTAGGATGTCAGTGTTCACGCCGGAAGCTACAACGTACGTGTCGGTCGACTGTTACCAGATGAATATCACCTGGGTGGTTATCATGCACTGAACGAGTGTCGTTCAACTAACGGAATCAGGCTTCTTAACTTGTGCGAAGACAACAGTCCATTTTGCGCAAGCACCAACTTCAGGCACTCAAGGAGACACTCTGCCACCTGGCGTCCTCCTTCACCATCGCAGGTTTGGTCCAAAATAGACCACCTTGCAAAAATTTTCATTTGGCGTGGCAGCATACAAGACTGAAGAGCACTTTGGTATACCTAGATAGATGTAGATCATGCATTGGTCTATGCCAATATTTGCATAAAATTCAGAGGAACTCAGAAACGGAGATTTGGTAAGCTTCATGCGAACAGGTCAGTTGATCAGTCGGCTCAGCCAGACTATCAATTATCCCTGGAAAGCACGCTGGCCTGGGCCACGCCCACTGCTATTGTACACCACTGGAAGTTCATGCAACAAGCATTTCTAACTTCAGGTCAATCGGTCTGTGGTTTATCACATCACCCGTTGTTAGGTTGGATATCGGCGCATTCCCTGACACTGTTCGACTGCCACCGAACACTCTTCGTGAACCCAGACCAGAATGAAATCTGCTGTATTATCAGCAGACGAAACCTTCGCGGTGATCGATACTTTGGGTGGTCTTAACGCGTCTTAGTGACGGAGGCTGCCGTCCTCACTGGAAATACTCGTAAGCTGTTTCAGCACATTCGGACTGCTGGACACAAGTAGTTTTGTAACAACAACGTCAATTGCGAGGCAGACGGGTCATAAATCACTAGACTGCAGAGACGCACGGAGAGACGGACTGAGCGCTTCCAGTATCAGTTCAACTGTTCCTCACCATCCACCTTTACACTCAGTACACCCAAGTCGATTGGCATGGTTAGTGCTACTCAAATAATCAACCGAAGAGGTTTGTCTTGAGATTTGTCACTTGAAGCGCTTCAAGGCGACCGGCTCAGATGAACTTCCCCCAGAGTTGTCGAAATACGGTGGTACAGCAGTTCTCAAGGAGCTAATGTCTCTGTTTCTGAAGATCTGACAAGAAGAAATAGTCCTCTCTTCTTGGGGGAGTCAATGATTGTTCCAATCTTCAAGAAAGGTTGTCACACTTCGTGCGTCATGTACAAGAGCATCAGTCCGGTATCTACTGCATCCCAGTTACTAGCATCCATCACGCTCCGCGGGCTATCCCCCACTCGTGAATCAGAGTACCGGGAGGAGTAGGCTGGTTTTCGCCCCGATCGAGGATATGTAAATCAAATTTTCACTTTTCGCCAGCTCCTCGAGAATCGCCACACTTACAGAAAACCAACCATGGTCATTTAGCTGAAAATTCGGGTTGCGTTCGACTCGGTAGATCGACCTGCTGAGGAATGGAGTTCCGGAAAAGTACGTCGCTATAACTCCACATTTCATGCCGAGTGAGAGTCTATGGTACACTCCTAACTCTTCCTTGTCACGAATGGCGTACGACAAGGATGTCCAGTGTCACCGTTCACCTTCAACTTTGTGATCAAAGATGTTCTTTTGGGAGCTTTACAGGGCCTGCAGAACTTCGGCATCAATCTTCTTCCAGGTAATCGTGCGACCGACTTGGACTACACTGATGATATCGCCTTGCTCGGTGACGACCCTCAAGGGATGCAATCGATCATTGACAATTGGTGTTTGAAGAATCTAAGTATGGTAGGTGCTGAGGAGTGCAAGCAGTTCGAATCATTCATTCAGCGAATTACGGAGCGGCAAATGGCAGTACGAATAGCCTCGTTACGGTAGCAAGCCATGTAATTCATTTCCATCTGATTCTGAAAGATGCACGCGCAATTTCTCTTTACAATTAGATAGGCCACAACTCGAAATCCCGTTACTCGGTCCAAAATTCGGTTGCCTGCAAACTAAAGTACACCAGTTAGACTTCGAAAGTCCAATACGAAAATCACAATTCTCAAACGTCTACCTTAACACAGTCTACAGCATTTTTAGCCTTGCACTTCTACAACTTATTCATCTGGCTTAGTTACGGTCCCAGCGATGCGAATCGTAATTCCCATTGAGATTGCGCGTCTCGATTCGATGAGGCAAGGAGCACCTCAAAATGTGCACACACATTACTGATCCGTTCCTGCGACTACCTCTCCCTAAACCTAGTTTGGCTACAGTAACGAATTGGCAGGTGCCCAGTTTATTTATTACATAATAGCAGTTTATATATGTAAGTAGACACAGTCTAGCAGCGACGAATCTTGGCAGAAGCCCAGTAAACCCCCATACTACTTACAAACAATCAGCAGTCGCCTTAGCAGCTTATATGCCACCTCGAATTGTGGCGGCTCGCAAAGGAAGTCGTGGCCCTGGGGACCATCCCTATCCACTGCATATTCAAAACGTGCACGACAGTTGAGGACGAGCCGCGCTATATCGCAGTTAGATATCAGTCATGGCGGTCTGCTGCCATCACCCATGTCTCAGTAACACAAGTCGCAGACTCGTAAGAGTAAGGTTGTGGGTACGAATCCGGCAGGATTCGGCGGGTTCGCGATACTGGCGAGTCCCAATAGGACGAAACGGACGTCTATGGCTATCCCGAATGTGTGGTGACTGTCTGCCTGAGTCTATCTGCGACGAATCTATACAAGCACACAAACTCGGGGAAGGTTGTTCGTTTGGATTGGCCGCCGAGGCAGTGAAATAAACATGAGACGGTGAGCAAGCAAAGCGACAAGAAACGTGCGGTTGCAGCGCTGGCTCAACAACCAAGACGCAATCGGTTTGATCACTTTGACTGCAACCATTTGGGAAATCGCAGCAGCATACTCATTGCAAGGACAATGGGTGACTCAAGGTCACGTTTCGGTCATTCCAATGGCCATCTCAGCGACCAGCTCATAAACAGGTATGACCGTTATCAAGCGCTTAAGTATACAGCAGCAACCCACTGTTGGTCGATGAATATCGTTATTTACTGAACGTGCGGCACGAGCCACTGCTGTCTCAGCAGAAGAATGATCTAATTTGGACAGGATTACAATAGGATAACACGATGTGGTGGTACAATTAGATGCTAAATTAAAAACAGCAGAATTTGATTTGATCGCTTGTTAGTGCATTGGTGACTGACCGCCTAATATGCTAACAATTATTCCCGGGTGTCCATAGAGGGATAACAATAATAATACGAAAACCTGAAGGATAAAAGTTCAAATGAATTTCGATATGAAAGTTCGTACTTTCACAGCGAAGATGTTCGTCTCCCGATAAAAAGTTGTCAATGACCAAAACACGTCGGAAGTGCCACGATTATTCGTACGACCAAAATGAAACTATTCGTTTGCGCTGCGTATCTGCCATTGTGTAGCCCATTGTGGCGAAATGTCTATAAAGAGCCAATAACCCCATGAGTTAGGGTGTCCAGCTCAAACACACTAAAAGACATAGGATGTGCGCGACGCTCGCTCCGGCGCTATTGTGTATCGAGGCGAGCGCGTGCATTATTCCAGGACTGTAAACCATTGGGAAGAAACGACTAATGTATGGAGGTGTCAGGCGCAAGATTTCTGCAACCGATTGTGGAGTGTATAGGGCTGTTTTTGGCCACGCTGGTTCATCGATAACTGATCCGATTGGAAGCCAAGCATATGCCGGGGATAAGATGGCGAAGACGAGCGAAAGGCAAATGGCAGTCATCAAGTAAAAAAGCAGAGTGAATGTATGTGAGCAAAAGTATTCTCTGACATAAAAATTAAAAAAATACGGGTTAACAGTGGAAAGAAAACATCTTGGTCAGGTAAGCGTCGTCGTAGGCTAGAAGAAAGCATAAAAATCGATTAGCCTAAGTGAATAAATAGGAAAATTAGCTATGCAGTAGGGTGATGGTCATTCTAAACGGGAGTGAGAGAAGCCACTGCAGTCGAGTGCATTGTACAGAAACTGGAAACCAGCCGCAGATGAGCACAAAAACTTGGGGTGAAGGGTGGGGATGGAAGACGTGGCAAAAAAGTGATGCGCTAAGCTCTTGAGTGCCATGCGTCGTCTCTGATGGTGCTGCTGCAGGGAGCCACCAGTTGGCAGAATTACATGTAAATCACAGAGCGAGTGAACTGCAAAGCGAATGGAAAGGAGTGGTGGAATTTGAAGCCGCCGAATCAATACGAAGTATGGAAACGACTGGAGCACATTAGTGTTAAAATACGGCGCTAATGGAGCATGGAAAACGGAGATTATGAAGTAGTATACACACAATGGTCAAAGGAAATTACAAGTGGAGGCTTTTATAGTGCATTTAGGAAAAATATTTGGCGCTTCGCATGTGAATATACACTAATGTTAAAGAAGCTGAGTATAAACAGAATATGAACACACACGCAAGTGTGGTAATAATAATTGCCTAGGTAACACATAACTTTTCTCGTTCAAAAGTCTGCAAGCTTGGAAAATATATGCTATTAGTCACGATCGCTTGTTAAGATTTAGAAATGAGTGATAGCTGGATAGAGGTACGGGTTGTGACTCATAGCACGACATTTAAGCACTATCGCCAGTTGGCACGCACAAATGAGTGAACGTTCTGTACTGAAAACTTGGCAGACAGATTCAAAATAAGAAGATAACTGGGTCCTGCTGAATGATCAAAACCAAACGGGACTGGTGTTGTCAGACAAACCGAAGCAGAGGTAATGCGAACAGCGACAAGCGAATGAAAATTCGAAGCCCTACGTAAACTGCATAGTAATACTTCATACTTAAGATAAAAAGTTTACTTAGGCATGGCCGCCGAGATCAAAAAAGGTATAGTGATCAGTCAAATTGATAAGTAGCAGATACACGAAAACACGAGGTTAGATGACTGCTGATGCACGGACTATATGAAGCTTAAGTTGGTTAGAATTAGCCTGCATGAGCCAAGATGGATCAAAGGTCGACAATATTGCAAACGCGACAGATCAGTCACGATGGATTTAACATACAGGTAACTATTAGGAACACTGTTCGCCAATACATTTCTAGCTTGAAAATTACAAAGACTTAGTACACATTTGCAATAATTGTATATACGATAACAAAAGCGAGACATCTGTCACATCGGATCTTGCCTCATCGAAGAAGATACGCTATCCAACTGGTATGTGCTGCTGATGGGACTCTATCAGACAATCGAAGTCGGATTGAGCGCAATTGCATCCAATAATGTTTAATGGACGATGACGTTTGCATACCCATTAGACGAAGGTTCGAAAAATTACTTTACGGACTTCAGGAACAAATCGGTCAAAGACAAACCTTCGGCGTGGGGCAGGCTCCAAACACTTGTTGGTGCCAAGTGTGCTTCACCACTATGTGGGCTCTCATAGTAAAGACTCAAAAGTCAAACCCGAGACACAGTGATTGCCGGGAGGCGCCTTCGCAAACAACAAAACATAACACATCAGTTGTGGGATTCACTATCTGTGGTCAGTGTCGCATGGATGGGTTATGACACGTAGACCCAATTTTGATTGCGATTTAGCCCTTATAACAAAGCTTAGTCAGTCGGATCCCTGCATCAGATACTGAAGCGGTTCAAAATCTATATGGGGAGCTTCAGGACCTTCGCTCCACCTTCCGATTTAAAACTGTTCTTCACAGAATACCCCCAAGGTCGCGGAGATCTTTACACCAGACGTATCTTAAGAGAAGAGCTTGGAAGTGAGCTGCAGCAGTTCTTCCATCTCAATGTGGACAGCTCGAACGTGGCCACAAGTAGAAACCATTTAAGCTGAAGACAGTTCGCGCCCGTCCGCAAGCTGCTCTATCTTCCAGGGTAGTAAATTACTGGAACAGTCTGCCGGAACCCATTATTGATTCGCAGATAGAGGAAAGTTTCAAGCGATTGCTAGGCTCTCATTTAATGGTTACTCTTACTTTAAAGATGCTAAGCTCCAAAGGAGTGACGTCTCTTGACACCATGCACCCACCATGTAATGATTCGGAACTGATGAGGTCGACAAGGGTCCTCTCTCCTGCTCTTAATATTCCAATGAAGTGTTTGAGGTTATTGGATCCCAAACCTGTGCTGCATCACGGCTAGTTTCATGCTTGTTTGTGCTATTTAGGTAGAAGAAGTCAAACTAGGGTCCGAATTAAGGACATGGCGACTTCCGGCAAATGCCTTTATAACTAGATCATTGAGATTTGCGAGCAACACCTGCCAGAGCCATTTGAGCTAAGCATTTTGAGCATAGCGCCACAGTTTCAATTTGAAGGGCGATTTACCCTATCTTTTTCCGATTTTTCTAAGTCATCAGACCGTCTTGATTATGAAATACTCCTTGCTAAGTTCCAATCTTCAGTAATAGGTAACCCTTTCTTAAGTTGGGTCGCCAACTTTATCCTTCAACGGTAGTTAGTGGTCAGAGTTCGTATATCCTTATCTGATCCCATACAAGTCTAGTGTTGTGTGTCACAGGGATCAGTTCTAGAGACACGATTGTACCTCGCAAAGGCAATCGCTTCAAATTTCTTACTGTTTGCCGATGACATTAAGATATGGCACATGACTTAAGGGAATGCCGACCAGCATTTGATTCAGAGTGACCTAGGCAAGGTACATCAGTGGTCAACCCAAAATTAATTGCAATTCAACGTGAATGCAAAGAACCCTACCTACAATACCAGAGTAAGTACTCATACAGGCTTAGGACGCATGTACTGCAGAATTCACCATCATCACCAGTATACACGTTAGCTGAAAGTGAAAAACACCTCAGCTATTGTGCCGCAATACAAAAGACAAGAAAAGGAAAACAAACAATGGCACGCCCGCTGAGTCCCCAGTAACGGATGGACATCGTTCCGGAGAGCTAACAGCTGGCTATCATGCCGTAAAAAGAATATTATGCCCAACGAGTGAGATCGTGATTGGAGGGAGATGCTAAGCAGGAGGGGGATGGACAAAGAAACTCACAACACAAACGACATTGGGGCCGGCTCTAAGCCATATCAGCAAGTGTGTCCAATCAAACGTGTTCACCGTCCTTAGGACCTCAGCCAGGCAGTCGGGATGTACCAACCGACGCCAACTTCGAAGTGAGGGTTTTCATCTCTCTCGATCGTCATCGCTTGGCCACCCCTCCTCCTCCTCTTCCAACCGCACCCGCAACGCGCAACCAATGCACGTCGCGGAACTCGGTGTGCTAGCATGTGCAACACGTGGTCCAACCATCGGAGCCTGGTGCGTGATATAATGGTGCTGAGCGGTTCACTCGCTCTTCCTGCACCAAATACGCGACGTCGAACACGCTCATTGCTCACGCGGTGCTCTCAACAGACATGAGCTAAGCTGCGAAGGCAGTGATGATCGAACATGACGAGCCTCTTTATGTCTGTCGACCTGATGGGCCAGGTTTCACAACCATATAGGAGAGTTGAACGGACGACTGCGTTGTAAACTCTACCCCGCAAGGCGAGAGTAAGGTCGCGTCTGTGCCACAGGTGGCGGATATTAGCAAAAGCACCTCGAGCTTTTGCTATACGGTTCGTAACCTCATCTTCAATCCCACGGGTGCTAATATAGCTGCCCAGGTACTTGAATTCCTGAACGACTTCTAGCAGACCACCACCAAGCGTTAGCGCAGGGTTGGGTCCCTGCCAATCTTGGAGAAGTACTTTGAATTCCGTTGGAGCAAAGCATAGTCCAAAACGATAGATAGCCATCTCAAATTGGTCCAGTGATGCTTGGCATGTTTGGGAGCTGTCAGATTAGGGCATACTCTAAGTCAAGAAGTCGCTCCACACCTTCTAGGTCGTGTCCAGCGAACGCTGTTTCCATGACTTCATCAACAACGAAGTTAAAGAGGAAAGGTGATAGCGGGCAACCTTGTCTCATACCGCTGGTGATACTGAACGGTGGCGACAGTTTGCCATAAACCATCACTCTGCCCGAACTATGCGCGTACATCGCTTTGATAATGTTTACATATTTATCAGGCACACCTTTCCTCAGCAGATATTCCCAAAGGGCACGTCGATCGACTGAGTCGAAGACACCTATTATGTCAAGAAACACGACAACGGTGGGTCGCCAATAAACATGGCGGTGCGCCAACACTTGACGCAAGGTGAAGATGTAGTCGATGCAGCCCTGACCTCGACGAAATCCGGCTTGCACTACACGAATCCGGCTTTCACGAGTGACAGTCAGTCTGTGGAGAATGACAGAGGCAAGCAATTTAGAGGCAATCGAAATCAGATTGATCCCTCTGTGATGGCCGCATTCCAAACGGGAGTTTTCCTTGAAAATTGGGACAATGACGGAGCGGTTCAAGTCTGTCGGGACAATCTCCTGCTCCCAAAATCTCACTAGCAACTCGTGTAAATCATCTATTAGAGCAGGTCCCCCGTATTTGAAGAGGGATGGGGGAATTCTATCTGCCCCTGCGACCTTTTGCAATTTCAACAGCCTGATCTCACGGGTTTTTTGGAGCACCCAACGTGTGTCTTGGATTGCGACGCGCAATCTCACTAGTGGCGGCGGTTGATTTGGAAGTCAGTCTCTTCCAATACGGTCACTGGGAGCGTCACCGAAGTGGAGGGTTTCGGTGTGGAGTGCAGGGATAGGAGAGAGCCACACCGAAAGCCTGATCTCACGTTCGACTTCTGCGCGTGAGGCCGGATCCAAGGAGACGACCCAGGGAGAAGGGCGCTCAACGCCCGGAAAAGAAACCGATAACTCAGGTTGGTTAAATTGTCTTGCAAAGTGTTCAGCCCAACACTCCAAGCGTTTTGACAGACTGTGGATCTTCTGCCCACTCTCGTCACGTATGGTCTCGCTAACACCATGTCTCCTGCTGCCTGTTTCCCGTATCTGACGGAGTAACTTACGATGATTGTCAACGGTAGCGACTGTTTCCATCTCAGAGGCACGATGAGACCACCAGGTTTCGCGGTCTTTCTTCAGGCTAGCAAGTAGTTTTGCCCTGGAAATTTTGCGAGCCTCATTGTATTCGCTTCCAGCCGGAATACGTTGGCGAGCATCCATAAGTTCCAGAGACTGTGTAGAGATCCAATGTCCGGTTTTGCAATTTGCTTTGTCACATGAAGACATGCCTGCTAACAGTAAGGTTTGATGAATATGCGACCAGTAATGTTCGACGGTGTTTAGTGGGCGCTTACTCAGCCCGGATGTCAGCGCACTTTGATAAGCATTCAGAACACCTGGCTTCGCCAGCTGGCTAGAGTGAATCCGTTCACATTTACGTTGCGGACGTCCACCGAAACGCACCAGGAGGTCGGCGCAGACAAGTGCGTGGTCAGAGTCCACGCTCGTGCTCCAAATCGAGCGATAGTTTTGGACACAGCCTCTCCAGCGGTAACTGATCGCGATATGATCGATTTGCGTCCATGGCTGACCCGAGGCTGGTGGCCGCCAAGTCACACTTCCGAGCGTGTTGTGTCCAAAGTTAGTGCTCGCGAGAAAGAGGCGAGCATCTTCACACAGATGTAGCAATCGCTCACCGTTATCATTACGGTAGCCTACACCATGTTGGCCACCCAGATGAAGGTCATCGGAGGAGAAATTGCCGATTTGAGCGTTTAGATCGCCAGCCAACAGCGCAGTATCCGTGCTTCTTCTATAACGAAGGAGCTCGTGAAGTTGCTGATAGAAATAATCCTTTAGCGAATCAGTGCCACAGTTTGTAGGGGCGTAGGCCGTAATGACAAACAGGCACCGTTTGTCTCCGCGCGACTTAATAGAACGGAACGAACCAGCTAATCTAACGGCGCACATCCTACCGTTTGCTGGGATCCAATCGATCAAGGCAGCTTCACCAGTAGAACGTGATCTGGTTGTGCTGGTTCAGAATAACTTGGTTATTCGCGGAAATCTGCCAAGGCATCAAAAGCTGGTAACCAACACGTTGTGCTGTTGCATTGGGTGATTGGACAAATAGATATCTCCATTTTTCGACAGATGCTCAGTGCATATGTTCGCCCCCATGTCGAATACGCAATTCAAGCCTGGCATCCATGGCTGAATTACGACCTAAATGCACTGGATCAGCCACAACTTCGGGCATCCATGTATGTCACTGGAATGCGAAATCTCCCATACGAGCAGACTCTGAAATGACTGAGATATTCAGCGGACACTATCGCAGATTACAAGGCGATCTGATAATGGCCTACTTGATTCTGCACGCCCACATCATGTGCGCCGATCCTTACTGCAACTCAGTCGTAATACAAAGCTGAGAGGTCACTCGTTGAAGCTAGCAAAACGGTACAACCGCCTGAAGTGCCGCAGAAATTTGTATTCGCGTGTGTCACACATCGGATGCACTTGTTGAATCGGTTGTTTCTGCACCGACAATACCCAAATGTAAAAGACCGTTGGATGACACACTCAGCCCCTTTTACATTTGGTTAGTTAACACAATATCCCCATTTTACTCCTGGGGTTTACCTTGCATTTATTAACCGTGTCCCATTGATGAGGTGAAACGGAGCGGAGTTCAGCACTACAACATAACAAACGATAAGTCCCTTATTTGATATTTAATGTATTAGATGTTTATTTGTTGCCATTCTTCGATAACCTCATCAGACTACGCAACCGGAATGGTAAAGCAGTGCTTCTTAACCCGCAGAAAATTATTGTTCCTCGCTCATACTATCACTCAAAGTCCGTAAGAACATTGGGATTGTACCGGAAGTGAATGGATCCGTGATGTTAACTGTGGCCAAGTCAGCTGCGGTGCGCAACAATGGAAATAGCCACATTGCTCTAAACAACGTAGTTGGAAACGCGGCCTCGTGGAAACACTTTTATACAGAGTCAGGAGAATGCGGATATCCTGGGAAATCGGTGTCCAGAAAACGTTGTGATTGAGATTCACGGTAGAGTGTCCACGACGAAGCGAACATAAAAAATGGCAATCAAAAGGAACGCTTACTTGTCCTTATTGTTCAAGGAGATCAGATAACACACGATATTGGACCAGGTCTGTGCCGTGTAGTCCAAAGGTCACCCATACAATTCTGTGTAGGTGCAGGCGAAAGCGAAATTTCGCTAGTCCGCGCACAACTGGTGATGGTCACGTGGCAGTGAAATGTCAACGCGGTGTGCCGGAGTATTGCTGATTTCTATACATGGCTATATGGTGATTCATATCACACAATGCCGACAAAATGATAAATCATTAAATGTTAATGCATGATCATAATCAGGTCAGGTGATTCAGCATAGATCAGTTGTTCCGTCAGACTGAGTTGCCGAAAAACATAACATGAAAAGTATCAGACAGATATAGATAAAAAGAAACCGACAGCAAACTTCGGTATGAGTTCCTGTTCTCACTCACTTCTTCAAAATCGAACGCTGCTCTGCCATCTCTGAGGCGTTCCTGTGCTTTGAAAGTGTCCACTGCGGTGACCAAGCGAACCAAAAGAAGAATGTAATCGTCGAAGACAATATCACCGTTTCGATTCGCATATCGACAAACGATGGCTTGGCGGACACGATTACTGACAGTGTAACCTGTGCAGAACAATGAGAGAGAGAGAGTGGAGAGGTTGTGGATCACGCTGAAACCAGGTACTTCCGCAGCCTACGTGTGTTGAACAGATAGGATTTACAGGGGAAACATTAGCACCAGCTGCAGTGTAGTACCACAAGCTCCTCCAAAAGAAAGCAATTTATATCCAGAAACAGGTAAGTGCTTGTCGGTCGGTCCACAATTCTCCGACTCGTGGAATCGGTAGAGCAACGTGAACACATGGAACAATGGTGTCAGAAGTGAAAAAATCGAGTTTCCTTAATGATATGTACTCGCGTAGATTTGTACCCTACTGCTTTTAATCTATTGGCTAAATTCAGATGAGGAGTGTTCAAAATATTCGTAAATTGACGTACTTGCAACCATTGCATTTTATACATAAGTTTTGGTACATAATTAAGTTGATTCATTGCGAGATCGCGGGTAAAATTTCGAACATATCACATAGGTATCGCAAGTATTTAAAGGCAATAGTGAAGTATTTGACGCTGAAGGGAATAGCTCCACAAGAAATTCAGAACAACGTCAATAACATTAGGAGACAATGCTCCTGCCTATTCAGCGGCTTTAAGTGGCACAGGGAATTCAAATGGGGTACGGACCTAGTGTTGATGTTGACCGTTGTGAGGGGCCGTACAAGTTAAAAAGTCAAGAAGAAGTTGACAAAGTTAACATCATCAAGCTGAACAGAAGGAAAATCATTTAAACAATAACAGAGTGCGTGCGTATCTTAACTGACAGTGTGTATTCTACTTGGACAGATAATATGATGCTACGAAAAGTCGTTGTGCGATGAGTGCCACGAATGTTGTCAGCGCAACAGATATCGTAATGTGCTCAGATGTGTCAGGAGTCTTCAAGAGAATCCAAAAAACCATGGCTGAAACTTAGATCCATCCCATAAATCCTGAAATAAGAAGACAAAGCGTGGTGTGGAAACGTGACAATTCACTAGCACCCAAGTAACTCCGATCGGCACCCTCGGCTGACAGGACCAAAGTCTATAAGTTCTGGGACGAAAAAGAAATAATTTTAATTGGTTACCTGGGTCAACGTGCTACAATAAGTGGTCAGCATAATGTAGGCTTAATTCAGCAATTTCGAGAAGAGATTGAGGCAAAAAAGATGGGGTAAGTTAAGAAAAGATATTTTGCTTCTTTAAGACAACACTCCTTCAGTTACCCGCGAGTTTCCACGAGGGCAAAGCATAGAATACTGAAAATAGAGAGCAGGAAGATAAAAATCTGTGTTGCTCCATCATAGGTGGAACGGGCACATGCGCGGAAGCACGTCGCTGATTCCTGCGCGGTGACCGCATATTGCAACTGCACTACATGTTAACCGGGTGCGAAATGTCCCCTATACCTGTAGTCTGCAAAGTGGGTGTCAAGGAATCTCTTAAATTCCGGCACCGATTCCGCCTCGATAAGCGTCTCCGGCAATTTGTTCCAATATTTCACCACTCGACGCTTGAAGCATACAGGGTGAGCGATGTGATTTAAATCCGGCACCATTAGTTTGCACCGGTGTCCACGTGTGCTGCTTGGTGCGCGAATGTGCATCAGCGGCTTCAACATAGGGAAGTGGCCCAGGTGAAGTCTCCGGTGCGTCATTATGAGATCAACTCGAAGCCGACGATATGACGGGGTATAAAGTCCTAGTCTCCTACATCGGTCCTCGTACGACATACCCCGTGAACTGGGCATGAGTCAGGTAGCTATATGCTGGGTTCGTTCTAGTCTCTGCACCTCACCTATTGTGATCGGGCAATAGGCGGATGAGCCGTACTCAAGCACTGGTCTTATTATGGAAGAGAACAGACGGGTGGCAATCTCCTCAGACCAAGTGCAGAAGCTGCGTCTAAGTGCCCAAAGCGGGCGTAGTCGGTTTGCGTACAGTCTGTTCGTGTTGTCGACAGACATCAGAGCACAGCGTGAGAGTACGCCTAGATTCATTACGGAATTGATGGGATGCAGCGGTTGGCCGGTTAGGGTGTACGCACGTCCATTACTACCATACTCCAGGATCATAAACGAGGACTTGATCGTGTTGACCGGTAGGTCAACTTCTGCAGACCACCAGGATAGGCGGTCGAGATCCTGCTGAAGGACATCACAGTCGCCGGGAGAATCAATAATCTAGCAAATCTTCAGGTCATCCGCAAATAATTTGTAGGGCGACCGAAGAAGGTAAGTACATCGTTGATGTGGATCAGGAATAAAATGGGCCCCTGTACTGTGTCTTGGCGTACGCCGCTAGTGGACGGGTACCATTCGGTTAAGTGGTCATCCACTTGAACCCGCCACCTTCTCCCAATAAGAAAGTCACTGATCCACTGGTGCAGTGCGCCAGCAACACCACACATCCGCAGCTTGTGGAGCAGGACCACATGGTTCACTTTATAGAAAGATTTACTGAAATCAATGTAGATAACATCCACTTACTTCCCCCGATTAAATACTTGGAACCATTCCTGCTGCGTCAACAGCAGGTTGGTGATGCACGAGCGGCCCTTCATGAAGCCGTGCTGTGCCGGCGTTAGATCTTTCGACTCCAACAGCTGGAGAAGACCCATTTTCACAATCTTCTCGAGCACCTTCGCCAAAACAGAGGTGAGACAAATCGGCTGGTAATTGTCCACATTGCGTGGATCACCATCTTTTGGAATCGGCTTCACTACCGAACATTTCCAGTCGCTCGGCAATGCACCCTCGGACAACGAGCTGTTGAACAGATCCGTCACAGCAGGCGAGATGATGGCCGATAAGGACTTCAAAATTAGCGGTTGAAATCCATTGGATTCAGCAGGTTTTGTGCCAGCAAAACTGGCGAGTAGACTGCAGACATATGCTAAACCGCAATCAAGGTCTTCGAATTCAGCAGGGGCTGCACACATCGAGCTCGGCATAGGCGCATGCCCATACGGAAGCCAAGTGCTCCACCAATGCGGACGCACATTCAGTGCTGGAGGTCAAAAACTGTCTGTCAGTTACATCACTTGCGGGCATCAAACGCTGCTTCACGTAAGCAAAAATCATCTTGGGGATCGTTTCCACTGATGTTGCAAGCTGATCATCGAACTGCCAACGCTTTCGCGCTTTTACATAGATTCCGCTGCCTTTTGTACGCCTCATAATCGTCGGCAGAACCAGACACGAGGAATTTATTCCACACTACGCGTCGCCGTCGAGCCAATTGATTATACTCTCTGTCTGTTCAATGGCTCAGCTTACTGGCACTTGGGGGGTACGAAACGAGCGCACAACGATTGGACACCCTCTTTTATAACAGACCAACAGGCATCAACAGATGAACTCTTCGGCAGCGACCAGTCTACTTCACTGGCGGCTCGATTTAGACCATTGAAGTCAGTCTTCCAATAATTGTAAGACGGCTCCGGCAGACGCGAGTAGGGCAGCGGCAGCTCTAGACTGGCTAACACCATCGAGTGGTCACTAGCTGCCTGAGGCTCCAGGACCTGAATTTCATGCACATGTTGCACGCAAATTATTAGTAGAAGGTCCAAGCACGATGGAGCAGAATGCAGTGTAACGCGCGTCAGTTCGCAGTTGTGTTGCCCCAGTTTCAAACACCATATCTGCAAACTGCGTCTTGACTTCACAGTGCCCGGGGAGAAGTTGAACCACAGGCCCCTGTATTCCAAGGAAGTTAAAATTACCCATATGGGAGAAGCGGGGCCGACTCATGTAGTTTCTGGCATGCGGCAACCAATCTAGGCATCGACTTCGAGGTCTGCGATAAGCCGCACTCACAAACAGTTCACCCTATCTCAGGCGGATCGAACACCATATGAGTACACACAAGCCATCTTCGTTACGGTAGGTGTGCACCAGTGACTCGCACAGCGAGGCCCGAATGTATAACGGCACGCCGCCTCGATCGTTTGATAGTCTGTCGCACAGGAAACATGAGAAGCCACTGATCTGGACTTCCTGGATAGTGACCTCAGGAGTTAACCAGGTTTCGGCCAGTACTAGTACGTCCGGCCGACATGAGGCAACGAAGTGACATACATCGTCACGTTTGTTCATTAAACTACAAACATTTGTGAAGGCTACGCGTAGGCCGCGGTAGGAACCGGCAGGCGGGCATGAAGCGTCATCGATCTGTTGATCCAGATTCGGCGGACCCGAGGAACTACCCGAAAATTTACAATGTGGAGATTGGTTTCTCCACTGTCAGTCCGCCGTTTCAACTCCACGATAGCGGACTTCAGTTTCTCTCTGTCCGACGGATCCAAATCGGAACGAATATGAATCTTTAGACCCGTTAGCCTACCGAGGCGAGACAGTATCAGCCTCAGATTCGTTGCATTAACAAACGTGACTGGAAGAGGCCAAGATTTCCGATCCTTTCTTTCCAAGACGGGTGATTTGCTTCACTCGCAACCCTATTTATTCACGTCCAGAAGCTTATCAATCAGGCTCTGCAGAAAATCCACGTCGGGATTATAACGAGCCTGAGAACTAGCATCTGTGGACTCAGGCGCGTGAAATATGGTTACAACGCCGCTGATTGCTGGCAGCTGATTTCTCCTTTTTGCTTCGCTGCATTCTCCATTAGCACTCAACGCCTGCGATATCGCACACCGGTATGTTAGTGTTTGCGGGACGCAACACAAGCACGCCAGCTGAGTCTCCAACAACGGGTGGACCGCGCCGGAGAGCCTGCAGCCGGTGTGTAGGTGGGCTCGTTCGAAAAAAGAGGTGACTGGGTTTCCGCTTGCTTGGATGAACCCACGGAGCTCCTCCCTATGGAACTTTCCGCCCGTCTTGTAGGCTCGCGCGGCTTCTCGGCTGTTTGTGACTGCACAATGGCTTGGCATTTCTTGCACAATATTTGGACAAAGTCATGCTGGATTTCACGTAGTAGTTTAAAATGATCTAAAGACAAACCAATACACGAAATGTGGAAATTCACACCACACATGAGGCCATGCCCAACTATTTTGCAACAAGTG